ATAAATGTTTTTAGATAAAATCTATCACACGTTTCAAATTTCATTGAAATTGGGGATACATAGCGTGTTTGGTGCATCAAATGCTTGAAATCGGCCGAAAATATATATGGGAGCTATATCCAAATCTGAACCGATTTCAATATAATTTGACAAATTTATTTTCGGATCAAATCCCGTCACATATTCCAAATTTCATTGGAATCGAACATTCATATTGTGTTTGAGGCATCAAATGAACGAAATCGGTCGAAAATATATATGGGAGCTATATCCAAATCTGAACCGATTACAATATAATTTAGCAAACTTATTTTTGTTCCAAATTCCGTTACACATTCCAAATTTGGAGACTGTATCTTTAACCGATCAATAGATATGTGCATATAAAATCTAAATTTTTGGGAGGTACCTCCGATTCTGATGCTATATCTCCAGTTCCAAGTGGAAATTCAAAAATGTATATAGCCTATGTTACTTTCAGGCGATGTTGCAGTATATATGGAAATTTTCAGAAAAATCTATTCAGCAGTTTTCGAGTCCATAAATTACAAACAAACAAACAAACAAACAAACAAACGTACAAACATTTTCCTCTTTTATAGATATAGATATATAAATATATATATATATATATATATATATATATATATATATATATATATATATATATATATATATATATATATATATATATATATATATATATATATATATATATATATATATCTTCTATATCTATAAAAGAGGAAAATGTTTGTACGTTTGTTTGTTTGTTTGTTTGTTTGTTTGTAATTTATGGACTCGAAAACTGCTGAATAGATTTTTCTGAAAATTTCCATATATACTGCAACATCGCCTGAAAGTAACATAGGCTATATACATTTTTGAATTTCCACTTGGAACTGGAGATATAGCATCAGAATCGGAGGTACCTCCCAAAAATTTAGATTTTATATGCACATATCTATTGATCGGTTAAAGACACAGTCTCCAAATTTGGAATGTGTAACGGAATTTGGAACAAAAATAAGTTTGCTAAATTATATTGTAATCGGTTCAGATTTGGATATAGCTCCCATATATATTTTCGACCGATTTCGTTCATTTGATGCCTCAAACACAATATGAATGTTCGATTCCAATGAAATTTGGAATATGTGACGGGATTTGATCCGAAAATAAATTTGTCAAATTATATTGAAATCGGTTCAGATTTGGATATAGCTCCCATATATATTTTCGGCCGATTTCAAGCATTTGATGCACCAAACACGCTATGTATCCCCAATTTCAATGAAATTTGAAACGTGTGATAGATTTTATCTAAAAACATTTATTTCCCAAATTATATTGAAATCGGTTCAGTTTTGGATATAGCTCCCATATACATTTTCGGCCGATTTCATGTATTTGGTGGACCAAACAAGATATGTATGTCCAAATTTAATGAAATTTAAAATAAGTAACGGAATCGGGAGCAAAAATTAATTTTTCAAATTATATTGAAATCGGTTCAGATTTGGATATAGCTTCCATATATATTTTCGACCGATTTCATGTATTTGATGCACCAAACACGCTATGTATCTCTAATTTCAATGAAATTTGAAATGTGTAGCGGAAATTAAAACAAATATACATTTGTCAAATTATATTAAAATCGGTTCAGATTTGGATGTAGCTCTCATATATATTTTCGACCGATTTCATGTATTTTATGCACCATACACGATATGTATGTTCGATTTCCAAGAATTTTGGAATATGTAACGGGATTTTGATTAGAAAATAAATTAGTCAAATTATATTAAAATCGGTTCAGATTTGGATATAGCTCCCATATATATTATCCGCCGATTTCACATATTTGATGCACATTTGACAAATTATATTCAAATACGCTCAGATGTGATTATAGCTCCATATATATACTCAGCCGATTTCACATATTTGATGCACCCAAAGCGAGAGAGACAAAATCTGGCACCAGCAAAAATTGCACAATTATATCGAAATCAGTTGAGGTTTGGATATAGCTAACATATATATTTCGGCCGATTTCATACATATTATGCACCAAACACGATATATATGACCGATTCCAATGAAATTCAGAATGTGTGGCGGAATTTTGTTATAATAATAAATGTGATAAATTAATTGGAAATTAGTTAAGATTTGGATATAGCTCCCATATATATCTCGGCCGATTTCACATATTTGACGCACCAATTTCAATTAAATATGAAAGGTGTGGCGGAGTTTGGTGTAAAAGTAATTTTTTTTAAATTATATTTAAATCGGATCAGATTGGGATATGATTTTAATAAGAACCATTGACCCACAACGCCTTAGGCTAACACTAAAAAACAACACAACAATTTATTTGAAATACGCTTATTACGGCGAAGTATGTTGCTATCTCGAATTCACTACCTGCAATAGAAATGCCACTCTACTTAAAAAAATTGCAGTTTCCTGCACGCTTGGTATTTGCTATGAAATAAATAAATCCAAAGGACAAACCCTTCGTGTATGCATGTCATGTTACTGCTTTTGTAATGATTTTGTTTATTAACGCATTAAATTAGTGCAATATTTTTTTTAATTTTTAAATTTGTTTTTCTTTATCCAACATATATTCGTAAATAAAATTTTGAATGCATATAAAATCAAAAGGGGTAGCGAAGCGCACCGGGTTCAGCTAGTATATATATATATATCTATATATAAATTATTATGTGAACATTCCGTGAAGGGGATAGTATTCGATTGGTAGTATTCGATTGGCTCAATGGGTAGCGAATAAACTTAATTATCGATTTTGGAATTAAAAGCAGCCAGAAGCATTGCAAAAACTACCAACTCATCCACATCTTAACTTCAACGTCTCTAGAAATCACCACTGACCTAAATAAAAAATTTAATAATTTTAGTCTTATCCAAAATCTAGTACTAAATTTATCTTTGCCTCAGACACAAATCTATTTCTTTTTCAGGATTTCAACTAAATGCCTTCACTTAGTACTAAATTAAGTACTTTTCGTAGAATTATAATAAACATTTCCAAAACTTTAATCAAATCTCAATTCCAGATATCAACTTAGATCTCAATATCAAATTTGAGGATTCCAACCCTATCCCTTCACCGAATACCAAATTTAGTACCAACTAGTATTTATTGTACAAATTTAGGACGAATTTCCAAGCCACCGCCAAATTTAAAAAACCAATGCCATCAGTAATCTAAATATCTGAATTTTATTTCAGATTTTAAGCACTATATGTTTACCCAAAGCTAAATTGTACCAAATGTTGTACTATTTAGTACTTTTCGTGCACTTTTAGTATACATTTCAAAAACCACCTCTACATAACGAACCTACTAGAAACAGTAACTCCAATACAAAATTTCAAAGTTTCCCAATTTAGTACCGTTTAGTACAGTTCCCTCACTTAGTGCACATTTCCAAATCCACCTGCATATATCAAACTTACTTTCCAACCTTGATTCTTATACAAAAAGTTTACATCTCTATCTGTTCCATAATACCAAATGGTACCATTTTAGAAGTTTATTACCATTCTAGAACTATTCGCAACCATAAAGTTCAAATTTCCAATAGCCCTTTGGCAGGATAAATCCACTGCATTCTATCAGGGACTCTTATTCCAAATTTAAGAATTCCAACTCAATCGGTTCATCACAATTCCAAATTGTATTAAATGTAATGCCATATAATAAAAACAAGTACGAATTTCCGAATCTTCCTAAATAACCCAATTTTAATTCCAATTTTAGGATTCCAGCTCTATCAGTTCAACTTAATCAAAATTGTAACAAACTTAGTATCTATAAATACACATTTACAAAACTATCTACGTATCCCAATCCTACATTCCGACAGTAATCTTATTTTCGGGATACCAGCTCTATTTATTAACCCAAATCAAAATTGTACCATTTAGTACACTTAAGTACAAATTTTCATAACTACCTACATCATGGAGTTGAATAAATATCTTATTTTCAAATTTTAGGATTCCAACTCTATTGGATCTCACAAAACTGAAATTGTACCATTCAGTACACAAAAGTAAGAATTTTCAAAAATAAATACATTTCTCAGCCCTACAACACGATAGTAATTTTATTTTCAAATTTCAGGATTCTAACTCTATTGCTTCTCCCAAAATTTAAATTGTACCAAATTTAATGCCATTTAGAACACAAAAATATGAATTTCCAAAACTAACTACAAACCTCAGTCCTTCAATACGATAGCATTCTTATTTCCAAATTTCAGGATTTCAATTCTACCCGTTCACCCAAAATTTTAATTGTGCTAAATTTTGTACCATTTTATACTTTTCGTGGACATAAGTACAATTTTCAAAAAACTTCCTACATATCCCAATCCTAAACTCTGCCAGTAATGTTAATTTCAAATTTCAGGATTTCATTTACATTCGTTCCTCTAAATTCAAATTGTACAAAATTTAGTACCGTTTAGTACTTTTCGTATATGTGAGTACACACTTCCAAAACTACTCCTTACATCGAATCTACACATCAACTTTGTAGTACATTTTAGTACTTTGCGTACACTTATTGTAAGAATTTCCAAAAACCCTTTAGTACATTTATTCTACACTCCATCGGTGTCCCTTATTCCAAATTGAAGTATTCTAGCTCTACTACTTTCTCCACATTTAGTACCTTTTAATATTTTTCGTACCGTTCTAGTACCAGTTTCTAAAAACCCAGTCTAATCCAAATCAAGAGTGACCCTCCCCCAAAAAGATTCTAACTTCAGCCATTTCGTTTGGGTGTTGAAGTATGGTTAAGTCAATCAGTCAATTCTTTACTCTTTTATAAATGTAGATTCCTACTTATTAAGGATAGAATATGTTTTCAAAGTTCGTAAGAAATATAAGTATTCGTCTCCATCGTTTAATAACAAATAAAAAAGTATATATTTTCTTCGAAAATGTTTTATCTATAACAGAAAAAGCAATAACAATACACAAAAAGCACAGGGATAGAGTAATGAATAAGATTCGAACATTATCGTTCCACCCGGCATTGGATCGTCAACGTGTGGCAATGACTTTGAAACTTTGCATTTGCTCTAAAAATGTATAAAAAAAATTCGATAGAACCTCGCCAGTAATATAATTTCGAAAAAAGAATTAAAAAGTTACTATTTTACCGTTACCACTTCTTGCATAATACCAATAGAAAAAGTTCTCAGCAGGAGAGCTGGCTTCAAGCCACATAACATTGCTGTTTTGATGTAGTGACAGTTGACAATGTCATTGAGGTACCTAAAAACGAGATGTAACAAGTAAACAAGCAGTTAGTTTGGCTGGGCCGAAATTTGTATACCCTCCACCATTTGGAAGGAATTTGAAATATTTTAAAAATTATCCATTGAAGAATACTGTAAAAATCATAAAGAATCCGAATGTAAGGAGATACCGTTATATTGTGGCCTTTACAAAGACATGGACCTACATGGGCAATTTTTCTCATAGGTCATTACGATATTAAAATTGAAATACGAAACTTGAAACAATTCCGGTGAATAATGTCGCAACAACATACGGAATATTAGGAGGTACCGTTATACGGAGGCTATACGAAGTTTTCTGTTACAGGCTGCAGTATTAATTAGGAACTTCAAAATTCTAATTCTTTTAAAAGTGTGACACAAACCATCAAAATACCAAAATTGAGGTACAATTACAGGGTGAGATAAAAAACTGTAACAAAGTCAAACGCCATAATTTTGGGCGGCGCATGCTGAGTGCGGTGTAGCTGAGTCCTATTGGAATGTCCAAGGTCTGCCGACAAAATGTTTGCGAGCCCAAGGCTTTAATACACCCTCCAGAATATTTTCGCGATAATATTCGGTATTTATTCTGATGCCACGGTCGATTTCTATGAACCTAGAGTTGTTAATGAGCTGTCACTGGAATAATTTTAACAGCTGTCGGACGAGTGACATAGAAATATGTATATATGTATGTATATGGGGACTATACAAAAACTCAGAACACATACTGCCACATTATAGCAGATTCGGGTTAAAATTGTGACAATAACACCCAAACACTTTAAATTTTTTGGTACAACTATATTGGATCTATACCAAAACGTGGACTAATATAGCCCATACCAAAAGTCCTGTAGACCTAAAACACATTTGAGTAAAATGTTATGAACCTACTTTGTTTCGTTCGGAAGCTAGAGTGATTCCCACAGATGGACAGACAGAACGACGCATAGAATTTTATGCTGATCAAGACAATACATACCTTATGAAGTATTTATATTTCGAGGTATTACAAACGGAATGACAAACTAAATACACCCTCCATGCTATGGTAGAGGGTATAAAAATGAGGTTATACAATGTTTTGACACATCACACTTACTGGCAAACTACAGCCTCATTTGTCTTTTCAAACCAATCCGGTGGTCCTTCGCACTCAATCAAATCTTCGTGGAGTTCTTGTATGCAATCCTGGTAATTTGTTAGATCTAAAATGAAAAGATCTCAGAAGTAATTGAAGATAAAAATGTAGTAGTACAAATAAAATCATCTCGCTGGAATGGGAATGATATGTACAAGATACCAACAGAGACTACAATATCAAATTTCGCGATTCCAGCGCTATTCCATCACCCAAAGCCCAATTTAGTACCACACGCAGTACTTTTTTTTATTTGAGGATTCCGGCCATATCCCTTCACCAATACTAAATTTAGTACTTTTCGTACAATTATAGTACACATTTCCGAAACCACATCCATATGGCCAGACTGCAGAACAGCGATCCTAATACCAAATTTTAGATTTCAAGCACTATATTTTTATACCCTACACCACAAGGTGGTCAGTGTATTATGTCTTTGTGCATTTGTTTGTAACAGGCAAAAGGAAACGAGATAGACCCATAGTTCCTTTTGATGATCTGCATAGAATCACTTTCTGAGTTGATTTATGCATGTCAGTCCGTCTGTCCGTCCGTATGTCCATGTATTTTTGTAAACAAAGTACAGTTCGCATTTATTGCCCTATCCAGATGAAATTTTGCACAAATCATTTGTTTGGCCCAAGGACGAACCCTATTGAAATTAGAGATAATCGGTTAAAATTTAGATAAAGCTCCCATATATATCTTCGTCCAACTTGCTTTTATTGTGCACCAAACGTGTAATATCAGACCGAATAGTATAGAATTTTGCACGTACGATCAGATTAGATCTGAAAATAAGTATGCTAAATTTGATCGAAATCGGTTCAGATATAGCTATAGCTCCCATATATATTGTTCATCCGATTTGTTATTTTTGTCCCCCGCAGCCGTAATATGCACTCTGTAACAACAATATTTGGGGAAATATATCAAATACATCTCAGAAATACATTTGCTAAATTTTATCGAGATCGGTTCCGATTTGGATATAACTCCCATATATATCTTTATCCGATTTCAAATTAATTGTGCACTAAATGATTGAATTCTCCCATAAAAACTTTTAATTGTTATGTGCATCTCTACTAAATTAGCAAAGTGGTGTAGGGTATCATAAAGTCGGCCCCGCCCGACTTTAAGACTTTCTTTACTGGTTACCCAATAGCAAACTGTACCAATTATAGTACTATTTAGTACTTTTCGAGCACTTGTAGTACACATTTCTAAAACCATCATCGTATATCGTAATCTTTATACCCTGCAACACTATGTGTTGGGGGTATTATAAGTTTGATTGGGCCAAAAATTATGTAACACCTCGAAATATTGGTTTCCCACATAGGAAAGTATATATGGATCTTCCCATCTCGCCGAGCTGAGTCGATCTAGCTATCTATGTCCATCCGTCCGTCCGTCCCTCTGTCCATGTTAATTTGTAATCACGCTACAGGTTGCAATTATGGTCCGATCTTCACGAAATTGAAAATGTAGGTGGGGTTAGGGTCAGAATAGAAGCCTATTGCTTTTAGAGATGATCGCATAATATTTAGGGGTTGAAACGGACCAAAAACTGAAAAAATTCCAGATTTTGCAGTTGCTCTACAGGTCGCAATTATAGACCAATCGACGCGGACGTTAGCATGGGGCTAGAGCCTAGGGCTGGGCAGAAGTCATCCAATTTTGGGTAATATTTAGTGGGTGGAATAGACCATAATATTTGTGTTAAATAAAAGTCAAATTTTCCATTAAACCACGAATATTTTTAATCCCTGCGAAATCACAAGTAGACTAACAGGTCAATTCTGACCGTTATATATATAGCAATATATATATACAATGTATATATACAAAGGAAGGGGATGTTAGCTAGAATGCTTATATCTCAAGAATGGCAGGAGATATAAGTTTTGACAAATTTTGTCAATTCAGAATGCCAGAATGATGTTAATTTGACTTATAATATTGAAGTGTATATTTTGTAATATTTTTTCACCTTACAACACAGGTTGGGTTATTATATACAGATTGCAATTATCGAAAATTTTCACAAGGCTAGGGCTCGGCTCAGAAGCGCTAGGCCTATTGTTTTTAAAGATGTCCGCAATATATTTAGGGTTGAACCCTAAACCACTAACAACACGACGAATTGCGTAAATGCTTAGGGTGATATCTGGGCAGTGCTTTATGACATAATTTCCAAAGCGAAATCATCCAAAATGGATTTGGACATAAGCGGGCTTCAAACATATTCAATTGTTGTAGGGTATCACATGGTCGGCCCCACACGACTATAGCCTTTGCTTACTTGTTTATATATAGATATGATTTGTTTGTAGACTTTGAATATTTTTGTAGGAGGTACCAGAAAGAGTGAAAATCTTTGCACGGCTGAAATATTGAAATTTGCGAAAATCGGTGAATTCATTCAGGTTTTATGAGAATATATTGTACCAATAGCATTGTTAATGAGGGCATATTATGGATTTGAGAAGGCTCGAATCGTATGAGTATTTAGGGTCTTCTATATAACTGAATAAGGTTTCTACAAATTTGATTTTCTTGTACTAGAACTTTATGAAAAACCCCTTAAAGTTGAAATATGTCCCATTATGGGGTATTAAGATTTACATAGTACATTTTAGCCTACACTCTTGCTTTTCCAAATTGGTGCCAAATGTGCTGATATCTTTTGCAGTTCCAATGATTTTAATGATAAAAATCATGAAATTGAGATTTTCTCCACTTATAGGCCTTTGTAGCTTTTTAAATCGTCGGTTGGGGCTTGAAATTTTCTCCTCTGGGGTATGTCCAACACCGCAACGCCATCCATGATTTTTTATAACTTTTGTAAGTAGTCGGCCTTTTATTTTAAAGTCAATATCTTCGGAACTACAAAAGATATCATGACCACTTGTTAAATGGGTATTTCCATAAGCTTTCAAATAATACCCATTTTTATACCCTCAGCTATATGGCTACAATCTAAATCCAAACCAAATCCGTTTCAGGACATTTGGAGTCGATTTAGCGATGTCCGTCTGTCCGTCCGTCTGTCTGTCTGGCTGGATGGTGCGCACGATAACTCTCAAAGGGAGTATGCGATTTGATCCAAAGTTGGTACATCGTAATATTATTGTAAAACTTAGATTGAGTTCGGAGATAAAAGGAAAAAAGTACCTCCCCCGATTTTGCTTCAACTTTGCAAATCCTAATATTTGCGTCAGTTCAGGTCAGGTGCAAAAATAAATAATATCGGTCCACTCCAAAGGGTAAAAATTTTGAATAATTGTAACTCTTATAAAATGTGATGTAAGAATCCGATTGTCTTAAAATTTCACACATCCCAATATTATTATCAACCCAAGGTCTGGTGTTAAGATGGGATATATCGGTCCACTCCTTCTGGTACCTCCTCCTCATAGGCTCAAAGAAAGCGAAATAAGCATCCAACTCTCCTCAAACAAGTCAGCTATTCTTTACAACTTGCCATATCTTAATACATCTCTCCTTGCCGGAAACCTGAGATAAATATCGAATTTATGATTTTCCATAAATTGGATATAAATGTTCGATTTTCTTGTAATATTGCTCATACCAATATTTTATATGTATTAGATGAAGCATGAAAATGGAGTACTTTAATCGACTATACCTAGTAGCTCACGCACATGTTAGCATTTTCTAAAAACAATCATATATGTTATGTAAAGTGAAGGAAGTTACCAATATAGTCCAAACCTGGCACGTTGCAATATTTATATCATATTTATTTAGGTCCGATACGAAATGGCCAACACTGGCCCATTCCTTCGGAACCTACTTCATAAGGGGTTTGAATAATCATAACAGAAGTCAAAATATTTGTAAGTAATCGTACATTGGTTGAGGGTATACATCCATAATCAGGTTAAAATATCTATCTGTTATAAATATATCAGGTCAATTCGAGTATAGTCCCTAAACTCAATTTAAGTCCTATTTTCTTTCTGTGGATTATGCCCGAATATTTTTGGGACATAGTCTCCACAGCAAAAGGTCATACTCCCACTTTATTATGGGGGTTATGACCAGAAATAAACTGGACACAATCCCCATAATTGCAATGGGTCAATTCTTCATTGTGTTACATTCTTCCATTTATCACCAAGCTCATTTTTGGTTCAATGGGAACGCAAATAAGCATAATTGTCGATTTCGGAGAGATCAGCCAAAAGCATTGTAAAGCTACCAATGCATCCAGAAAAAAACCCCGTTTGGTGCTGTTGTGAATCGTAACGTAACTGTGAATAATGAGCGCTACCGTGAAATGACATCAACATTTTTGCCCAAAATGCAAGAGCTTGACTTGCAGAACATGTGGTTTCAACAATGTGGACTTATTGAGAGGAGAGTTCGGTGAATATTTTTTCACGTTCGGCACCGGCGAATTTGCCGACTAGGTGATGTGATTTAACGCCTTTAGACACTTTTTTGTGGGGCTTTGTTAAAACCCTTGTCTGTACAGACGAGACCGATTCAATTGATTTATTGAAAGGTAACATTGAAAAATTTATTCATGAGAAACCCGCCGAAGTTTTTGGAAATAATATGACAACATTAGACTAAGCAGATGGGCCATTTAAGGCGAAATTTTTAAATTTGTTTTTTTTTTTTAACCAACATATTTTCGTAAATAAAATTTTGAATTCATATAAAATCAAAAGGGGTAGCGAAGCGCACCGGGTTCAGCTAATGTTTATATAAAAAAGGGGATGTTAGCTAGAATGCTTATATCTCAAGAATGGCTGGACCGATTTTAACAAATTTTGTCAATTTAGAATGCCTTTTTGGCATAAAAGAATAAAATCTACAAAAATCGCATAAAAAGATGCTAATAATGATGTTAATATAGATTCTGTAGTATTTTGTGACATGTTTTTATTTTTTTTAATATTTTTATCGCATACTATTTTTTTTTTCACCTTACAACACTGGTTGGGGTAATTATATACAGATTGCAAGTATCGTCCGATCCTCAAGAAAATTTTCACAAGGGTAGGGTTAGGCTCAGAAGGGCTAGGCCTATTGTTTTCAAAGATGTCCGCAATAAAATTAGGGGTTGAAATGGACCAACAACTAAAAATATTCCTGATTTTGCAGCCGTTATAAAGGTCACAAATAAAAAAAGAAGTTAGAAGTTTAGGACAGCGGGTAGAAAGGACCACTACTTTTGCGTGAAAAAATACCAACATTACTTACAGGCCATGTCCGAAATACACAAAAGCGAACTTCTGCCTTTTTTATGCTGATTTCGTTGACCAATTTACCCAAATATCGTAGACAAGCAAACCATATAGATGAGTCTAAATCTGGAGATACAGAGGGGCCTTTTGCATTTGGAGATGATCGCAAAATATTTAGGGGTTCAAATGAACCAAAAACAGAAAAAAAATTCCTGATCACACAATTGAAGCCAATCGACACGCCTGTGAAGAGAGTTAAGGACAGGGAAGAATTCTAGCATTTTCAATGACTATTGGATTATCTTTAGCTGTAAAATGGACCACAACAACTAACAGCACGACGGAGTGCGTAAATATTGGGCAAATGTCCCTGTTCAAAATGCTATGGTTAATATCTGGACAGTGATCTATGACATAACTATGACAAACGAAATCTTCCAAAATAGATTTGGACGTAAGGAGTGCTTTTAACATATTGTAGTGTTGTAGGGTATCACATGGTCGGCCCCGCACGACCATAGCCTTTGCTTACCAGTTTTCCTCTTAAAAAATTATTCTTTAAATCTTCAAAAGAAACTATGTGTCAATATACTCTTAATTTGTATGTTATAAATAAATGTTCATTTGTGTTTTGCAACTTGCTGAAAAAGTTATAACGCCTCTAGAAATCCTATAAGCTAAACATACCACTTAAATAATGAAGATATGCATTTTTGTCATGACCAATAAGTCGATATGTATGTATGAAACTCTCATTAAGTGATACTTACCTTTGTCTTCCGCAGAAAAACTGCGTTGGCAAATGTTATCATCAAAGTGCTTCAACCCATTATACAGCTTCACATAAAGATTATCCACGGAAAATGCCTGATGCCGTGTCAAAATCTTATTTATTTTAGTCAATACATCGGACACCTGATTGCAGGTGTTGAACAGGGGTCTCTCCGTTAAAAGGTGCACAATCCGCTCTGGACTTGTAATGTATAGGCGTGCAAATTGTTGCAGTATTTTATTTTCATCGCAATGTCCTGGTATCCGATTGTTGTCTTTTATAGATTTCTGCTTAAATAATTCAATAAAAAACAAAATGGGAAGAGGTAGGGGGTTGGCGACAGTGGCAATGTTTCTCACCTTTACAATGCAGTTGTCGGATCTCATTAACGCTGTCTTTATCCAATTACGCAAATAATTAAAATTGCTTGTCACAAGGAGCAGCAGCAAAACGATAATCAGGAGACTGAGTATTGTTGTTATCAAACGCATTTGATGTTCAAAACAATTGTTTTTTCTGTTTTTTTTTTTGTTTGTATGTTTTTTGTTTGAAGATAATTGATAAATAATTTAAAATGTCAGCAGAAGCTTTGTATATTAGTTGCGTTCCTTTACATATATTTTTTTTAGTTGTAAAAATGGTTAAAGATCAAAATGAGAACTTTGGAAACGGGCGGGAATGGAAAAACATTAAAAAACGGACTATGGGACTCTTGTTGACCGGTTTCGAACGTAAAATAAAATGTTCACCTAGTTATCCCTATTGAAAGTCCATTATTAAGGCGGGACTACATAAAGCGCTTTTTCGGCTGGCTTAAGTCATCGGCTGAGGCAAAATCGAAGTTAAGCTAAAACTCCTTTGTTCCTCTACGCCAGCCAAATAAGCGTTCCCACCTTTAAGCCGAGAATGACTGGCTTAAATCATCGGCTAGCATCTTCGTAAAAGAAGAAAAGAGTGTAGAGTGAACAAGTAGTACAAATTACGGGCTGAAATTGACCTAATGCCATGTTTACGTTAGAACTTTTTGTAGGGTTAACCTACTTTGAGAGGATTTATTTGAAGTAAAAATAATGGATATGACAATTTAAATCCAAATCCAGTGGGTTAACCCTCATATATATATATAAACGTACTATAAGTCAATATAAAACACCTTTGTTCTCTAACGAAGAAGCAAGCCTATGACTTAAGCCAGTCAAAAAAGCCTTTCATGTATTTTCACCTTTACACGTGCTGTGTGTCATGCAAGTCTAGCACTTTTAGACAAGCGCTCACCAATAACAGTTACGTTACGCAATATTTTTGAAGAAGTGCGGTCCAATGAAGCCAAAGTGGATATTCATTAAAAGAAAAAAAAATAATAAAATAAAATTGGAATAGGTACAAGTTAAAAAACAGTAAGTTCAGCCGGGTCGAACTTTGAATACCATTCACCATTTGGAAGGAATTTGCAACATTTCACAAAAAAACCAGTAAAGAAAGTCTTAAAGACGGGCGGGGCCGACTTTATGATACCCTACACCACTTTGCTAATTTAGTAGAGCTCCGCGTAACAATTAAAAGTTCATACACACTATGATTATAATTTAAAGTTCAAAGAACTGAATATGCCGAAGAATTTGTATATTTTAAATTCGGACTTGTATTACCCATTTGGTGCACAATTAATTTGAAATCGGATAAAGATATATATGGGAGCTATATCCAAATCGGAACCGATCTCGATAAAATTTGGCAAAGATATTTCTGAGCTGTATTTTATATATTTCCCTGAAAATCGTCGTTACGGAGTGCATATTACAGCTGTGGGTAACAAATATAACAAATCTGATGAAGAGTATATATGGGAGCTATAGCTATATCTGAACCGATTTCGATAAAATTTGGCATACTTATTTTCAGGCCTAATTTGGTTGTATGTGCATAGTTCCATACAATTCGGGCTGATATTACACGTTTGGTGCACAATAAAAGGCAAATCGGAACTATGGGTCTATCTCGTTTCCTTTTGCCTGTTACAAACAAATGCACAAAGACATAATACCCTTGTGGTGTAGGGTATAAAAATTCAATGGAATCAGTTGGTATAGATGACGGATCAATGTTCGATTATTTAATAATCGAATAGTCAATAGTCCGATCTCTATCATTGTTATAATATATCTTGTGTTGATGGAACTAGTGAGATGTACCAAGTCAGAATGGAATCGGATGTTAATTTCACGTTTTTATACCCTCCACAATACTATGGAGGGTATATTACCTTTGTCATTCCGTTTGTAACTCCACGAAATACTCATGTCAGACCCAACAAAGTATATATATATATTCTTGATCAGCGTCTATTCTTGATCTGTCTGTTGTAATCACGCTATCTTTCGAACGAATTGAGATAGAAGGCTAAAATTTTCCACACATGTTTATTTTGCCAGTCGGTAAGTTAAGTTCGTCATGTAGGTCCATGTTTCCCATTTAGTCCTCATATAACGGTATCTCCCGATATTGCGCATTTTGATGATTTTAGCGACATTTTTCACCGGAATTGTTTTAAGTTAAACAGAACATTGTCTGTGCAGGCCACGTTTTTTAATAGCACCATAAATCGTACCTCCCTATATTCAGTATTTCGACAATTTTAGCTACAATACTCACCGAAATTGTTTCAAGTTTGGTATTTGAAGTTCGTAACGGAAACTACAGTCTGTGACAGAAAATTGCCTGCGGAGGTCCACATATCTTTGTAGCCCCCATATAACGGTACCTCCCGATATTCGGTATTTTTATAATTTTAGCGACATTATTCAGCGGAATTGTTTTAAATTTGGTATTTGAAGTTCGTAACGGATACTACAGTCTGTGACAGAAAATTGTCTGTGCAGGTCCACGTCGTCGTATAGTCCCCACATAACGGCCCATTCCCACATAACGGGAATGGATTGATATATTCCATCTTCACACCAGAACTTGGGTTAATAAAAATATTGTGATGTGTGTAATTTGAAGACAATCGGACTCCTACATCGGACTATCCTTTCTTTTTCTGTGCAGTAAAAAAATGTTTGAAAAAGTTAACCTTTTATGGGGGGAGGTTCCACAAGCATTGGACTGCTATTGCCCATCTCCGAACTCGACCTAAGTTTGATAATAATATTACGACGTATCAAGTTTGGATCAAATCGGATACTCCCTTCGAGAGTTATCGTGGGCACAGACCTAAAGACATACAGACAGACAGACGGAGTACAACGGACCAATATTTCGAGATGTTACATAATTTCTTGCCCCCACTAAAACTCATAATAACCCCATCACATAGTGTTTTAAGGTAAAAAAAGGAAGAAAAAAATTGGCATAGGAAAAATAATTTTCCCCCAATTTTTGTGGCAAAATTAGTAATTAAAAGTAATAAATAATAATTGAAAATTAGTATACGGTTGTTTTACTTCATCTTCAAAAAAAAAAAAAAAACAGTAAAGAAAGTCCTAAAGTCGGGCGGGGCCGATTTTATGATACCCTACACCACTTTTCTAATTTAGTTGAGCTCCACTTAATAATTAAAAGTTTTTATGGGAGAATTCAATCATACACGCTATGATTATAATTATAATTTAAAGTTCAAAGGACAAAATATGCCGAAGCATTTGTATCTTTTAAATTCGGACTTGTATTGCCCATTTAGTGCGAAATTAATTTGAAATCGGATAAAAATATATATGGAAACTATATCCAAATCTGAACCGATCTCGATAAAATTTGGCAAAGATATTTCTGAGCTGCATTTGATATATTTCCCTGAATATCGTTGTTACGGAGTGCATATTACGGCTGTGGGTAACAAATACAATAAATCGCATGAACAATATATATGGGAGCTATAACTATATCTGAACCGATCTTCACCAAATTTGGCATACTACCTTCTAGACTAAATTCGGTCGTATGTGCCAAATTCCATCCCATTTGGACAAATATTAGACGTTTGGGGCACAATAAATGGTAAATCGGACGAAGTTATATGTGAGAGCTACATCCAAATCTGAACCGATCTCGATAAAATTTAGCAAATGTATTTCTGAGCTGCATTTGATATATTTCCCCAGAGTGCATATTACGGCTGCGGAGGACAAAAATAACAAATCGGATGAGCAATATATATGGGAGCTATAGCTATATCTGAACCGATTTCGATAAAATTTGGCATACTTATTTTCATCCTAATTTGGTTGTATGTGCAAAATTCCATACTATTCGGGCTGATATTACACGTTTGGTGCACAATACAAGGCAAATCGGACGAAGATATATATGGAAGCTATATCTAAATTTTTACCGATTATCTCCAATTTCAATAGAGTTCGTCCTTGGGCCAAACAAATGTTGTTTGCAAAATTTCATCTCAATCGGATAATAAATGCGACCTGCATTTTGTTCACAAGAATACATGGACAGATGGACGGACGGACTGACATGCATAAATCAACTCAGAAAGTGATTCTATGCAGATCATCAAAAGGAACTATGGGTCTATCTCGTTTCCTTTTGCCTGTTACAAACAAATGCACAAAGACATAATACCCTGACCACCTTGTGGTGTAGGATATAAAAATAAGTAGACAACTAGGCTTTATTTCAGGATTTCGAAAATTGAAAGGATTTAAAATCTTATTTAAACATACCCTAAGTATAAGTGTTTGAAGGTCCTAGTCACACTTTTCTTAAACGAGTAATGTCATGCAACACGCAATATAACTCATAATCAGTGTCATTTTATTTCAAACATACACGCTTTCTTGTCCATTTACCACGTATGAAAATGGCGTTCAAAATATTACCATTGAAAAAAAAAAGAATAGCAACAAATTAATGGTTTTATGTAGTTCTTAGCACCTGACAACCCACCGGAGGTGAAATGGAAAATGAGTGGAAAAAATGCAACTCCATGTAAATGGCAGAAATTTTTTTCTTCTCTGCATTAGGATTTTAAGTAAGCACATGGACAAGCAATTTTATGCTAATGGAATCGTGAAACAAATGTGTGTGAGTGCGTTAGCCTGAAACTGATGCAAAAGAAAATGTTTTCGGACGAAAGCTCTTCACAGAATCATATAAATATTCGAACATATAACAGGACCCAACAGAGATACTAAACGTTCATTTAAAGAAAGAGAAAACAAACACTTAAATCATAAAACATATGATCTTCGCCTTAACAAGGCAAAACTCTAAAATATTTGTATTTTATGGCCAAAATAAGAAAACCGAGTGTTCACTGTTTAGACTCGAAAAATGCTTAAAAGTCAACAATAAATAATTTATGACTAAAACTGGAAAATTAAATGATAATTTTAAAAAACATTAAATGTGAAAATTTAGTAACAAACAATTTATGGTCATAATAAAAAAATTAAACGTTCTACACTTATTAACTAGAATTCGCTCAAAATTGCTTTGCCTCATTAAGGAGGTTATTGTGACACCTATTTATACCCTCAGCCATATGGCTAGAGAGG